GATTTTTAAGGACTTTTCCCACCTGAGTAGAAATAATAGGTTAACAGTTAAGGATCTCTGTATTTGGAATACTCCCTGGGCAAAAAGGAATTGGAGTTGAAGTTTGTTTAAATGCAGATGTGGGGTTTTAGTAAATGGCTCTGGGGAGGTTAGAACTTCACCAGAGAATTGGAAGGTAGGTGTAGTCTTTACCTTGCAAATTAATTATTCATTTTAAGGAGATGTGGAAAAAGGAGGACAAAATTTCTAAGAGTCTTATACAGCTGTGTGTTTTGGTTTGTGTAATGCCTGGTGGCTAAAGGGTGGCGGAGATGAATTTCTCTTAATAAAGAATACTTTAATACTTTAAAAGTAAAAAGCCTCTGGGAAGGTTTAGAGCTTTGTGAATTAGTGTGAATTTGACGTCTTATCTAGCCAAGATCAGCACCACCCAAGGAGTGATGATTTAGAATGATAGAGACTGGGAGACTGGAGGAAGTTGTGAAAGTAATTGTGAATATTTTCCTGGGAGGACACTTCTAGATGAGATGCTCCAGTGTGGATTTTAGGGTATAATAAAAGCCTTGGAGAGCCCTGGATGATTACAGAAAGGGATATGAGGGGCAAAAGCTGGCTGGTTGCTTTATAATTTTTCTGGGACGTCTCTGGGCCAGGGGAGATGACTTTCTTCACATGTCCCTGCTCCTTAGGACCCCTCAAACTCCAGTTAATATTGTAGCTTAGGCACATTTTTAGTTTAAATAGTCTTTTGTGGATTATTCCAGGAATTCAGCCAATTGACATCAACTTTTAGAATGTCATAATTTCTAAATTATGACACACGATGTTCAGTGTGACTTCTTGTTCTACTCATATAGATAATAGACCCTTTTTTCTTGGTCTTTGTAATTCTCATCCATAGGTACTGCATATTCAGCATGGTGCTACTGATCTCATTTATGGTGAAGTGGGGAGGCACCATGTGCCAGTTAGGAACTTTTTCAGTGGTAATGGTGTCAACCTGCGCATGTCTACCATATGTACTAATCTTGCCCCTGGGTTTGGTAATTTTAGTTCACCAGCCACTGTTGTATTCTATAATTTGTAGTTGCATAGTACCAGCAGTAGAATATTGAATTAGACTTGGGTTTTTTCAGTAGACAGCCATTTGGAATCATCGAAAGCACCTTTGCAGTTTCTCAAGTGCAGTCCAGTCTATTTTATCTCATTTTTCTCTTCTGTGGTTGACTAGCCATCTAACTACAGATTGTAATAATGGTGACGTGCTTTTTTTAATCTTTTTTTTCCCCTGGGGAGGATTAATTCAGTCTTTTAAAAAATTACCGTGGATATGATTGATAAGGCTTAGCAGGGGATTATCCTTTTTTTTTTTTTTTTTTTTTTTTTGCTTAAGTGCCTTACTTAACAAGTGGATGCTTAACAGATGATTGTTGACTTGATTTGAGGCAGTTAATGTGATGTCATCTGTTAATTTGGAGAACCCAGCTATCACTAAGACAACTTTTTGTTAGATTCTTTTCTTTTTTCTTTTTTTTTTTTTATTCCTTAGCAGCAGATCATCAGTGACATTGGGGAATGCTTTGGTGAGCATGATCTCCTTGTTTAAAAACAAAACAAAACAAACCATGTCAACACTTAGTGGATTGTTGAACAGAGTCATTTTTGTAGTCATGGCAATTGTCTAGTCTCATATAATTTTGAAATATTTGTGAGAATGACATCTGAAGAGATATAAAATTTTATTTTGCTTTATTCATTTAAATGTAGTCTTAAAATGTATAAAAATAAGCACAGTGGATTCTTAGCTTTATGACTGTCAGCATGCTGAAAGACTTGTGGATATTTAGCCTGGAGATTCTGTGGTTGCCTATAACCAAAAAAGGGTTTGGTTTTTTGATTAAAATTATGTTTCACATTGATTACTGACTGCATGGAAAATCTAGGTAGATTTTTTTTTTGGAGTTATGAGTAAAACTGATTTTTAAAAAATAATTCAAATAAGCATGCATCATTACTGTGCATAAAAGAAGAGTCAGTTTTTAATTATCCATCTATAATTCATGGTATAGATTCTTGAATGCTATATTGCATTTTTATTTAGGTATATACTAATTTTTAGGGGATGATGAAAGATGTTATAAAAGTAAGTCTTTGAATAGGGTAGTTTAATCCATTAACATTCAGTGTTAAATTTTTAAGTTAAATTTTACTTTCCTTTGGATCTTAAGTTATTTTCCTTGTTTCATAGGAGTTCCAGCATTCCTGATCCAAACTTAAAGCTAATTAAATGTTAATCTTTTTCACCCTAGTTTTCACCTTAGACTTTGAGTGAGATAGTAAATTCTGTCCTTCATCATTGTTGTCCTATTTTTAATTATGGTTGCCAGGTTTCGTGTAATGATCATAAATACAGCTTTATTTCTGTTTACCTCAAATTATTTAAGTTAAAATTTCACAATATCAGACTGAACAATACTTTAACATAGCAAAAAACAGTATTTTATTTGTAACCTTTTCTTTGAAGTTTTTCTGACCCAAAGAAGAATAATCCAAGAGGATATTATATATATCTTTTCCAGTACATTATTGGTAATTTTGTTTTATGCCACTGTTTTTTAACATGTACTTACATATAGGAGTCAATAAATAAAGGGAGTTTCATAGATTTTGAAAACATTTTTACATACTTTTATTACTCAGTAATAATACATGGGTGTTCATAGTTCTCACGTAAATATCAACCTTTTCATTCATGTTTCTGAAATAAAATATTTTGAAGATGTGCTTAATTCATTCCTTATTGACTCCTCTCTGTGGTGCAGAAATATAGCCTAGCGTAAATGGTCTTTTGTGACAGTACTCTAAAAGTCAGTAAGATGAGAATATATCCCTGTTCAAAATAGTATATCATGTTGCCCTCTTTCCAGAGCAGGCAGTGAAGTTTTTTTACATAGTAAAAGCAAACTAAAGGATGTTGTAACCGCCAGGACTTAAAACTCACTGATAGAAAATTTCATTTGATTGTCTTCCTTTTAATCCAAATCCTTAAATAATAATAATAATTTAAAAAAGCAAAATTAGAGAATAAGTAAAACTTTTGCCTCTCAGTGATTGGGTAGACTTGGATATTGAATATTTTAAAATGCAGGCAAAATGTGAGAATTCTTTGCAAATTAGAAAGGTTTGTATAAATATAAACTGGTGATATTTTAAAAATGTAAGTCCTGATCATGTGGTAGAGTTTACGTCAAGTTTTTTTCTTTATGTCTTTTATTTTTTAAATTAAATTTTATTTTCAGTTCCAAATTCTGTCCTCCTCTCCCTCCTTCAGTGAGAAAGCAAGAAAAATTAAACCCGTTATAAATATGTATAGAGAAGTAGAACAAATTTCCACATTAGCTGTTTGCATGAAGATTAAATGGTACTTTAAAAAATGTTTTCTGTGATATCTCTTTATGAAATGGCTTCATGATTATGTATGAATCAGTCAATCAAATGTTTATTAAATCCCTACTATGTACTAGGTTCCTAGGATCCAAAGCCAAAACAGTTTCTTCCCTCAAAGAACTTACATTCTTGGAGAAAACAACATATATACACATACATGTATACAAAGCAGCTTTGTTTCTTACTACCTTGGTGACATTAGGCAAGTTAATTAATCTCTCTGGGCTTCACTTTCCTCATCTATAAAAAGGAGGGGGTTAGACCAGATGGCCTCTAATATCTCTTCCAGTTCTAAGTTGATGATCCTATGATATTTATACATGATAATTTTGGGGATAAGGAGGCATTAGTCCCTAGATGCTAGAAAGCTTCACATCAGAGGAGGCATTTGAGTTGAGCCTTGGAGGAAAGTAGTGATTCTAAGCGGTAGAGGTAAATAAGGAGTGCATTCCAGCTATGAGGGACAGCCAGTACCAAAACAAGACTTGGGAAATGGGAATCTTATGTATGAGGAGCAGTAAATAAGTCAGTGTCCATAGATCTCAGAGTGCATGGAAAGGAATTATGTGTAAGGAGACTGGAAATGTTGAATAGGGCCAGGTTGTGAAGAGTTTTAAATGCCAAACGGAAGTTTATATTTGATTCTAGAACTGTGGTAGAATCACCGGAGTTGATTGAGTAGTGAGGTATGACATAGTTAGATCTGCACTGTAGGAAAATGACTGCCAGAGTTGTATGGAGGATGGATTGGAATGGACAGAGACAAGGTATGGAGATCAGTTAGGAGGAAATTGCAATAGTCCAGGCAAAAGGTGAGGAAAGCCTTTTAAAAAAAAAAAAAGTAGGGACCATTGCAGTAAGGAAATCTAGGACTAGTTGACCTCAATTTTACTGTGGAACAAAGCAAAGTGGCAAGAACCTAGGGCCTGTGGCGCATCCCCTCACTGTACTCAGGTGTTGGAAGAGCCAGCCTATCCTACTCAGCCCACTGCTCACTTAAGGGGAGCAGAAGAGATCCAGGGAAGGTATTTCTGCTTGGTTTCCAAGAAGCGTGGGGAACAACAACTTATGTAAACATATGGAGACGGGAGAGGGGATGTCAAACATGAGCAATAGCCATTAGGCCAGTTTGAGTGGAATATGGAGTGCTTGAAAGGGAGCCCTGTTATTATAATCCCAGAAAGATTGACTAGAGCCAGATTGTTTATGAAAGGGCTTGATTTGTTAACCAGCAGAGTTTTGTATTTTATCCTGGATACATTAGGCAGCTACTAGAGGAGAAGGCAATTCTATCTAGACTCTCCAGAAGCAATGAGTAATTTTTTTTAAACTTTTGCTAGAAGTAATAATTTTCAAGAGAATAGTGTTTCCTAATATATCAACCAAACTGAAACAAATTCATGTTTTCCCCAAAAAGTGGTACTGTAGAACTGACTGTTCATCTCTAATAAGTAATGCTATTTCATTATTAAAGGCATTCAGATGTTCTTGTTCTTTTGTTAAACTATTTACTGTGCATTTTAAACCTTTTCTAATTTTTCCTTGTTTTTCAGCCAAACCAAACAGGAAACTGACATTTCTTTATCTTGCCAATGATGTCATCCAGAACAGCAAAAGAAAAGGGCCAGAATTCACAAAAGATTTTGCACCAGTCATAGTTGAAGCCTTTAAACATGTTTCCAGGTATAATAAAATATTTTAAAATGAGACTTTTCCCCCTTAAATTTTCTCTTTCAGATTATAAAAATATTTCTCTTAAAGATTCCTTTTCAGTCAGTCAACCATCAAGCATTTTAAAAATACCAACTGTATGCTAAGCACTGTACCAGGAGCAGGAGATACCATAATGAAGACATAAGAATTCCGAACCCTCAAGAAGCTTATATACTGTTGAGAGAGAGAACATGTATATACATATATACAAACTTATTTTAAAGAAAACAGTAATTTGTGTTGAATATAAATATTAAATCTGTAGATTTTTAATAACCTTTTGAGAGGCCAGAAAGTATTGCCTTGCCTAATGATTTTTGGTATTCTCTTTAGTTTTTTCCTCTCCCTTTATTTGCTATCCAGAATATTGAATATGGTGGTTATGTGTTATGATGAGTTTTAGTTTTAGCTGTACCTCATAATGGTTTTCCAGATATACATATTAAAATGTGGAATTGTCTTAAAATGAGTATAAATCTTGAATAATCCTATCACAGTTTAAATTAAGTATGGCAATTTCATAGTAGCTATTAATTGCATATATGTATGTATGTATATATGTATGCATGCATGTATGAAGGATTTTATGCTCTTTCCTGAAATTCTTGAGCAAATGTATGAAGAAAAAAAAAACCTGGAAGCTAAGAAAAAACAAAGCAAGTGATTTTAGATAAGGATAGCTCAAATGAGTTAATCCAAATTATAAAGTCCAGTTGTATCTTTTGCTAAGATAAATCATATGAAACAAGGAAAGAAGACATCATGTGCTCTAAAAGTTAAGATTTAGTGTAGAACAGCAGACACTTGTGTTTTCATAGTTTGAGATGCTCCTATTTGTATTACTTTTTTAATCTGTTCTAAATTACTGGTCAATTCAGAAATTCCGTTCAAGATATTACTGATTCTGCTTAAAACTACCACTAACCTTTTTTTAAAGGCCCAGAACACCAGGTTTTTAACTATTAATATTCTGTTTATGTTTCCTTCAGTGAGACTGATGAAAATTGTAAAAAGCATCTTGGAAGAGTGCTGTCTATTTGGGAAGAAAGGTCTGTTTATGAAAATGATGTATTAGAACAACTTAGGCAAGCTCTCTGTAAGTATATGTAAATTTATGATTATTTTATTCACAAAATATCATTTTTTTTCATGAAAATAATTACATTTTCCTTTAAATCAGATGGCGATAAGAAGTCCAGAAAGCGTTCATATGAACAGATAAAGGTGGATGAGAATGAAAATTGTTCAGCACTAGGATCACCAAGTGAACCTCCACAGGTAGACATTCTTTCTTTCAAAAGAGAATCCTAGTGTACGGGAGTCTCAAAAGTCTTAGTGCAGTTTTAGGCTTTAACAGCTTAAAGCTCCAAGTCTAAGACTTTTGATACTGCCTCTATATAGTTGCAAATTACTAGTATTACTACATTTTTGTTGTTAGTCAAACTCTTCATTGAATTTTACTTTGGTAAATTGATCTTATAAATGTAAGGGTAAAGAAAGATCCTCTGAACTAAATAAATGTCACATAAAACCATTCAGATTTTTTCTTTACCACATTGCTTATGTTTATTTGAAATAGGATTCCATTCTCTTAGGTGTTAGACCTCTCTTGGAAAAAATAAAGATGTTCTGAGACATCTTGTTTCTTCTAAGTAAGTGATAATTTCATTAGAATGCTGGGTTGTACGTTTGAGATTCTCAAACTCATATTTTTTATTGATATATGTTGTTGCTTTTTATTTTTCTTTTTTTTTTAAGTGATTTTAAGTGCTTTTAAAAGGACTTTTAAAAATTACTGTAATGATAAGTAAAGGATCATGGTGATGATCTCTGAGATCCCTTCCAGTTCTAAGTTTCTATTCTTCATTTTCTCCGAAGATGAGTTAGTATCATCCTTTCCATTTTGTACATTATGGCATCTTTCTTATATGGAGCTCTAGAATATTTTTGTTTCCTGGGTTTATATAAGATTCACTTATTAGCTGTGTGACTCTGGGTCAGTTACTTAACTCTCTGGATCTCAGTTTCCTCATCTGCAAAATGAGGGGATTGGACATGATAACCTTTAAGGTCTCTTCCAGCTTTAAATTTATTAACCTATGATCTAAGTCGGAGGAATGTTATCTCTTCCTCTTTAAAGAGACTAATTTTCTTGGGGTCTTTCTCCATTCTTTCAGCTTTCTAATTCTAGCTTGCCTGCTTTTGAGTTGAGGTAAGTATTGTATAAAGGAGAGGAAGTAATAGATTTGTATTCTACCCTACAGGCTCTGGATGTAGAGGGAATCTTACATGGGATATTTTCTTCTTAATTTATTCATCCTCTTCTCATTTTTAAAGTACTAACTCAGAGCCCTAACCAAAGTATTTGATACTATAACCTAGATTCCCTGGTTTTACACCTTCAGATATAGCCCTAAGTATGTTCTCAAGGTTTATCTCCTTATATTTTTTGATATGAAGAATTTTAGGAAGCTCATTCTCATGTAGGAAATTAGACACTACCCTCATCTAAAAGTATGGCATCTTATTTTGGGGTCACCCTGCTAGAATGAACATGACTGTAGTTCTTAGGACTCTCCCTTGATCTTCAGTGTAGACCACTTGCTTTTTCTCTGTACTTTCATAAAACAGTCACTTGTATCAAAACCTTTTATCAGGAAGCCTGATTTGTCTTTAATATAGGATAACTTATCAACTTGACATTTTTTAACTAGTTGCTAGTTACTTAGCCATTGTATTATAATTGGAAAAAGCATTTAAATTGGTGAATTGAGAATCACTTCCTTTTATCAGTATGTTTGTTCCTCTAACGATATATAATCCCTGATATGAATTCTTAGTAGCAAACTTTAGATTAGACACCTATATTGACTTTGCCTCCCAACCAGTTAGATTGGTCTAGTGTATAGGACTCAATTGATCTCTCTAGGATTTGGGAGTAGTAACCCTTTTCCTGATTGGGCCATATCCTAATAAGACCCTCCAACCTCTATATTCTTTTCAGAATTGTGGAAAATCCTAGAATTGGTACAAGAAAGATGCCTTATTGTATACATCAGCTGGCTGGGACAAAACAAAGAAAAACTCACAACACCCATGATATGCTTTATTTGGCTTTATTTGAAAACGTGCAAGTGATTTGTAGTTTTAATTACTATATTGGAAATATCTCACAAATTTGACCAAAATTCTGGTTGCTTTAAGTAAAATCATTGCTTTAAAATAAAGAGCTACAAAAGGCAAATCATCTGATTTTTTTTTTTCAGGTATGCTTTGGGATCTTTCTTGTGAGAGTAGGGGAACAGAGGGTGAGATTTTGTTTTAAGAATAAAACTAGTAAAAATATTTTGGAGGTTATAGATTTATGATCTTTTAATCTTCCCCGGTATTCAAATGGAGCTTTACAAAGAGTTTGATCTAGCAGACATACCACGAAGTTGCATGGCTGTTAAATTAATTTTGATTAACCGTATTGATTTTGACAAGTTTGATTCTGAAGTTGTCTGCTTTTTCAGACTATAGATCTCATTAGAGCCTTACAAGAACTTGAAAATGCAGCCTCTGGTGATGCAGCAGTTCATCAGAGAATAGCTTCTTTACCTGTTGAAGTCCAAGATGTATCTCTACTAGACAAAATAACAGGTGAGAAAGAATGATTCTGATTTTTGAATAAAATACAAGTCATGGCTTTGTTTTTAATGTATTACCTACTTGTTTATTACCTTTTCTTGCATCATAGATAAAGAATCGGGAGAACAGCTTTCCAAGATGGTAGATGATGCATGCATGCTGTTGGCGGATTACAATGGTCGATTGGCAGCAGAAATCGATGATAGGAAGCAACTAACTCGAATGTTATCAGATTTTCTTCGTTGTCAAAAAGAAGCCCTTGCAGAGAAAGAACATAAGCTGGAAGTGCGTAACTCTTTAATTATTTGGAACTTTTAAATTAATATATTTGCTTCATGGGTTTTTCCCTGTTTAAGCTTTTAGGGCCTTTATTGTAGATCCTGTGAATTTTTTATTTTTATTTGTATATAAATATTACAGGCCATGCCCTAAATTTGCCTCTTCCTCCTCTAATTGGGTTCTCCCTACTTGGACCAAGCCAGTTAGCCAAAGGAATAGTCAAAAACTTGGACTAGCAGCATTCTATTCACTTTTACAGGTAGCTATATGGAAGACCATGCATTAATAAAACAACTTGTTAGCATTATCAGTTTAAATAAGAGCATTTCCTTTTCTCTCCTGTAACAAAAAGCATTGGAAAGACAGGACTGGTGTGAATGTTTATTGTAATAGTAGTAATTTTTAAATTACTGCCTTTATCAACTGGTGGTCTTTTACGTAGTTGATTTAGAAATGAAAACAACTTGTTAGCTATGAATTTTATTATGATTTGTATAATTTGGCCTAGTTCATATTATCAGAACTCCTCAAGGTAGGAAGGGGAAATTTTGGACATGATCTGTAATCTTTTAGTAGTTAGGCTTAGGTAAAATGTTTTCTGTTATAGCAACTGCGTAGTTTAATATTAATAAGATTTTTTCCAATATCCAAAGTTCTAGATTTAGGAGCAGTTACCTGTAAACTTTTGAGTTTCTCTTGACAGTTCCCGAATTGTCAGTTTGATTTTATATTCTAAATGAGGGCCAACTGTTGTTATATATCTTCTCCAATTGCCAATAAGAATAACTACCTGAGTTTTCCTTCTTCAGTGACAGTAGGAGATGGGAACTTTCCCACTTGTCATCATCCAGATTAGAAGTGAAGAGTAGGCTAGTTGGTATAATCAGCTTGTCAGTCTCATGTAGGATCTGAAACAAAGCATCATGCCCATTCAGCCCTCTGCATTCTTGTGTATTGTCTAATCTCCAGAGCAGCAACAGCATGCACACATCAGCTAGAACCCACATAGACTACTAGTAACATTTTGTATTTACAACATTTAAGATACAATGGATGAAATATATGGAAATTTAAACCCCAGACATGCTATTGCATTGCTTCTCTTGGCCTCACTTGACCTCTCTACTGATATTCACTATATGTCTTAGGTCCACTGTGCTCACAGGCACATATAGGCCAGTGTGATCAGTGACTACACCAACTCTTTATACCGTGGCTAATTGTAGACTGACAGAAAAATTAAATGGAGCAGCCAGCCTATATTTCAGCAGGGTTAGAATATATTGTATCTCCCTTAATCATTTAGCTTTCCTCCAGTCACCATTCATTCAGTAGTACCTCTCTCCTTCCACTACCAATCCACCACATCAAAAGGAAAGGAGTTGTGGTATTTTAGTACATCCCCTTTAAAAGCTTTTACTTACCCGTATTTTATTTATTTATGGTATTTTGAAAAATAAGGATAAATCTGATAAGTTAACAGCTATTGATAACATAATAAGATTTAATCCATAAGCTAATTTTGCTCTTGCTTATTTTCTTCTTATTAACAGAATTGAGGGTAAGTAGTAACATGCACAGCTTTTGACTTTAAGTATGGTTTCTTTAACTTCTATCTAGCTTCTATTGCAGGTGTTGGACAAGGGCGTATCTTCTAATGATGTCGTCATCCATTAGCACACCCATCCTGCTAAAAATAAACATCAAACTCAAAATCCTGTATTGTCTCATGTTTTTTAAAAAAAAATAGAAGATATTTTGAATTTTTCCCCAATTACCTTATACCACTGTCTCACTCTTTATTCTTTCCACAGTAGCTAGTTAATATCCCATGGTAGATTTTTTTTAACATTGGCAACATAAGGGAATTTCTTCAACACGTTAATTCACTTTTATTAGCATTGGCTTTCCTAGCTAACATAGAGAAAAATATCCCTTGAACTTTATATTATAAGTAACAAAAACAGGAATTTTTTAAAGGATGAAAACATGCTAGAAATTAATTAGACATATTAGTTGTTTGAAGATTTATTTTTGACCAGACTTACAGAAACATGTTAAAATTTTAGCAACTAGGTGGGTTTTTTTGTCTTAAAAATCAAGAGAAATTCAAATCTGTATTGTTTGTGCTTATCTGGTCTAAGAATTATCCTTTTTTAATAGCATATAATTTTAAAATAGTTGAATCATATTAGATATCTGAAAATTGGATATCAAATTGTAGCATGTCAGGTCCCCCAAAAAACTTAGTATAAAAACTTATTTACTGTGAAAGAGAATTTAAAATATTTCTTAAAATTTACCAGCCAATTGCCAATCTTTAAAAAAATTCATGACTTAACAGTTGCATAACAATCAAGTTATTGACATAAGTACAGATGTTTCTAATAGTATAATATGTTATACAGAAGTACAAGATAATCTAGACATGAATCTAGTTCAAAATTCTTTTGTATCTGTTAGAAATTGTATCAGGGCAATGTTTATCAATTTTAGGTTAGGAAGTCAGATAGGGGATTTAAAAATTGCTTTTTGAACTTTTGAGACATGTTCGAAATTATAAGTGCTTTATTTTATTGTAATATCATTTTACTTTTTTCACTTCAGGAGAATTTAGTGTTTTTCACTGCTCTATTTTGAAAAGGGGGGGTGGTGGCGATTGAAATAAGGATACATATACATATGAAAACTTTAAAAAGAAATGTCCATTTTAATTATTTTAAATAGATAAACTTAAGAAACTACCTTTAAAAAAACACCAAAATATAAATCTGTGGTTTAAAAAACACCGTAGATTTGGGCTGCTCACTTTTTTAGCATGTCATTTTGTATATATGTAATTTTAGAAAATTAATAAAATGGCAAAAAATAAAGCATACACTTAAAATGTGCATATTCAGCAACTATATTAGTTGTTCCAAGAGGAAAGCATTATAGTTCCAAGGTCAAAAATCAGGACACTGAGAGAGAAATCTCAGTCTGTCTTTTGGGTGGGGTCATTCTGAATGTCACATACCAGTACTTCCTCCAGATAGATGTCTTACATCATGAATTCTCTGGTCCTTCTACTCATCTATTTATGACCTAAAATTACTTTTCAAAGTTAAAATATAAACTTAATCTTTGGCATAAATTTAAAAAATTCAAAGCTATAAAAAGTCAGACATATTTACATAAAAAATACATATTTAAGAAAACAATTTTATTGTATTCTTTAGTGTTTTCCATTTGAATACATATACATTTTTGTTCTTTTGACAGTATACCTTTTTTCTGATTCTGCTTCAATTTGCATACCATGTGACCCTTTCAGTATTTCTTTACTGGTTACTACTAACGTAGTAATAGGCTACTGCATTGTTATTTCACGTTTTGTTCAAGTCTTCTACAACCATTGAACACGTAGTTTATTTTTCCAGTTTTTTACTATTGCAGGTCAAACAGCTATGTATATTTTAGTTTTTAGAGAGGTTTTTGGGTTTCTTCCCCCTAGTTACATTCTTAGGGTATAATACTATTAATAAGGTTACTTAGTCAAAGGGTATACGTGAGTTTGTTTTGTTTTGTTTTTGAAATTTAAATAATATTTTCCCCTCAATTAAATATTAAAACGATTTTTAACATTTTTTAAAAAACGTTTGAGTTCCAAACTCTATCCTTCCCTCCTAATCCCCCCCCCCCGCTACTCTGAGAAGGTAAATAGTCCAATATAGGTTATTATATGTGTGCCATCATTATATGTGAGTTTTTAACTCCTAAATTGTTATCCAAGTATACTGTACCACTTTATAGTTCTTTCTTAGCTTAAAATTAGAATTGTTCATGGACTACTTATTAACTGGCGAACATTTGCCACATATTTCAATAAATTAAGCAAAAAGATAATTTGCATCTTATGACAGGAGTTTTGGGAAAATACAGTTTGATTAATCTGAAAAGATGGCTGCTTGATTAAAATAGTGATATTTGCCCATTTTGTAACTTACAGAAAATTTAGAACCTGTCCAAGATTTTCATAATGAATATTTTAAAATATAGGGTTTAAAAATACAAATTTAAACTTTTATCTGTTAATATTTTAGTGTAGTTCCAAACAGTTAAAATGTTGAAAAGGTTACTGTTACAAAGAGCATTCAGTATAGCATGTAGAAAACCTCCTCTCTTTTTTTGGTAATATTGCTTAATAGAAGCATTGTACTGAGTTAAATTGAGAAATTATTTTAGAAATTGGCTAACTTGAGTTTAAAAGGGAATAACTCCATTGAGTTTTTTCCTTTTCCTCAGTTTATGAAGTCTCAATAGCATAGGATTATAAATTCAGAGCTGGAACTGCTCTTAGGGCCTGGAGTATAGCCCTATTTGTTTTACAGATGAGGAAACAGGCTCAGAGTATTTGAGTGGCTTGATCATGGTCACAGTTAGTAAGTGTTGAGGCAAGATTCAAACTCTTATCTTCCTTACTCGAAGTCCAGCATTTGATTTACTGGGCTACTTTAGCAGTTCCTTAAATATATTTAAAGACTGTATTGTATGATGCCTAGAGTAGGAAACTGAATAAGGAAACCATGGACAGTACTATTATTCTCTTAAAGAATGTAGAAATTATCTAATGAAATGCCCTGTTTTTAGATAAAGAAACCAAAGCCCAAAGACGTTAAATGTTTTGCTATAGGCCATGCAGTTAGCTAAAAAGTAGCAGAACCAAAATTTAAACCCGTGTTGTCTTCTGACTTGTTTCCACTAGAATGACCATGCCCACATCCTTTAGATTCCTCTTCTGTAAAGTGTGTCCAAAACTTACTACTGTATTGAATAGCTATGAACTCAAAAGAGATAGATTTCTTTTTTTTAATTTAATCTTTCCGTAAAAATCCACCTTTTCTCCTTCTGTAGCCCTTCCATTGAAAAAGAAAGAAAAACAAAACTTACAAATATGTATAGTTAAGCAAAACAAATTTCTAAATTGGCCATTTTTAAAATGTCTTATTCTACACTCTGAAAGTTCT